CAGCTAAGCTATAATGAGCCTGTCTCGCTCATGGGATGAGCTGAAGGCAAAGGCATAGAAACAGGGCAGGAAAAAAAATGTTGCTAGGGCATGTTTAGGTGCAAAGAGTCGTCCAGCCATCCTTGGGTGAAGCAAAGCTCATTTTCATTACTGTTAAGTTAGGCTAACAATGGTTGGTTGATGCTAAGAACTGTTACAGTCATTTCCTGCTACTGACCCACAGGAGGTGTCCTAGAGTCATTCAGCCCTCATTATGCCAATATAAAGGTAATGAGGACGGGCTTTACAGCGCTTCAGTGAGGAAGTTACTACTGTATGTAGTTGGAAATGACCAATAAGTCACTAAGGGGATCCTGTGGAGAGAGGAAAGATTCAATCATCCAAGGCTAAAAGGATTTCCTTGCTCTCTTCTCCCTTCACTCTTCCTGGCATCAGCAGTTCATTGCTAACTATTGGGATCATTTGCAAATCACAAGTAGAAACAGTTACTTCTTGTAATAACAATCTCTCTGTGTGCGTGGATGCTTGCACACACCCCTGCACCTGCAACCATCTCTAGATTCATTCAGTGCCTTCAGTGTAATTTTGCAAACAATAAATAAGAACCATTTAGCAGAGAGTAACATTTTTAAAAATCCCCCCATCCCATCGTTCACACATTAACCATCCCATTGTTCCCTCCCATATTTCACATATTTCATCCCTATGAAAACTTTGGATTTATCAGCGGGTCGTTTTGGAAAAGGCCATTTCCAATCCATTCTATACTCGCAGGGGGAATTAATTCTAGTGAATTTAGTAACACTAAATCTGCAATATGATGATTCTCTCCCTCTCTCTCTCTCTCTCTCTCTCTTTCATGCACACACACACAAAGCTCTCTTTGCTCTACTGCTTTCACACCTTGATCCAAGTAAAGTCCAAGTAAAAGAGTCCCCGCCCCCTTATGCCTTCCCCCGCATCGAAAGGCCAAGCTCGGAGCCAGGCGCACACGTGCTCTTGCCCAGGACGCATTTAATGTAATTATTGTGAGCGTGGGCTCTTTTTGATCTTGTTCCCTTTCAACCTTTCCGAATGACGAATCATTCAATCTTGGGCTTTGGTGCAGCTTTTTATTTTCCCCTACTGGGGCTAGTAGGAGCCCGATTTATTGGAGAGAGAGCAGGGAGAGAGAAAGCCCATGCGCGCATGAATGGAACTTCAACTTTTAAGAGCCTGTACACAGAAGGACCGGGAGGGGGTGGGAAGTCCCTCCGAAGCCGAGGCTTCACAAGTGATGGCTTGGAGAATCTGATCTGGCACAAAGAGGCAGCTTTAATGAAATCTGCCTTCCAGTCGCGAGAACGGCAGCCTCAGGGATGCATTTATAAGATGACTGAAAAGCTACACTTTCAAGTCGGGGCTCCTCCAGGTGGCTTGCACAAACACAGGACTTCAGGAAGAAACCGAAACAAGAATGGGCAGAAATGGATCACTGGGATTGCTCCCTGAAATTCAAGCTGCCCATTCAAGTGGCCTTCTGCCTTCTTAGGACTAACACTCAGGCGCCCAGGCGTTTTCCTCCAAGCCTTTCAATCTCGGCCTCCCGGAAGACCCAACAGGAGCTGGTCTCTTTCTTTCTCTTTCTGGTCTCCCGTCCAGCTCGTGCAAAGTTTGATGGAAATTACTGCACATTTCTCACTTTTTCTTCAGCCAGCCTTTCACTGACAATTCGTAAGCCCGCTGCCAAGTTTTTAGCGGCCTTGCGATTTCAGCAAATGCAGGAGTGGAAAGTTCAGGACTTGAAATTACAACACTTTGAATGCCAGGATATTAATCTCCACCCACCCCCCACCCCCACCCACCATGTTTCATCCTCTGTTTCTGAATCGTGTCATTAAACGCGATCCCCGGTGTTTAAAGCAGGCAAGATACTGTTTCGAACACTTCTAACAGAAAGTCAGCAAGCCTTTAGCAGTTCCTCGGACTTCTCTGAGTAATGTATAGAAAATGGTTAAATCTGGAGTGCTGAATGTGAGACCTGTAGGGGGAAGGTGGAGAATGAAAGGCAATCATTTTCATCAGGGTGGGAGACAAAACGCTGCATTCATACATGGTGTTTATTTATACTGAAATGTCATAAAGAGCCAAGATGCTATTAGAAATCAGTTTATTTACCAGTAGCTTCCAAAGGATGCATTTCATTTTTTAAAGACACTTTTCTACTTCTGTCCACTTAACAATGGGCCTTAAAGGTGACTTAAAGGTTTTGACAGCCAAATAAGTAAATTAGCAATAGAGAGGATGCAAGAATTGTTGCAGCATATTTAAAATCTCTCTTCCCCCCCCCCCCACATTTTAAATCTATTTAAAAAACAAGAATATCTGGGAGGGTTGCCCACCCTTTCTTTCTTGTTCTACCTTCTTTCTTTTTGGTTGACACCCCCCCCCTCCCCTATTCTTCTGGTCATTGCAAACCCAGGTTTTGCCGTCCTTTGTAAAGTCTCTCTAAACAAGCTATTTCCAACCTGCCCTTTCTGCAGATATGCTGGACTTCAGTGTCTGCAAATCTCAGCTGCAAAGTCTGGTGATGGTGGAGAGTTGCACCCCAACCTATTTGGAAAGACCCAGGTTGGGAAAGGCTATTTTGGAAATGTAGAAATCTAGCCCTTCAGCATGCGAAGCTCCCGGG